CTTTGTCATTGGCTGAAGGTGAAGCCCTGAACTTTGTGAGAACCTAACGTTAACCTGCAGCGCTTGGGAGCGCTTAAACTCACAGAAGAAAGCGTTTGTGATGCAGTCGGCTCGTAAAATTAAATGAGAATCGAAGTCATTTCAAAATTAAATCGCGCACAGTGGTGAATCGAGATCGCGATTTTATAACGATTTATCGTGCAGGCCTATTGTGAGCTATGACGAGCTTCCATACGTGGGCCAGGTCCTTCAGGATGTGGAAGAGGAAGTTCAGGTTAGCACCATGCGGCAGTCGGATGACAAGAACTTGTTCATATGGCCACAAACTCCAGATGTAATATTTTACTATAAGAAAGATGTACATGCTGTCATCTCAGAACCTGAGCCAGCAACCTCACGCTGTTCTAAGTTGAACAGCCAAGACTGGGCAAAGTTCACAAATGCCTGGGGCTAAAAACTGCCTGCACTGTAAAAAATGTCTGTAGAATTAACAGTGAATTTCTGTAAAATCATGACATAAAAAAACTGTAAATACAAAAACAATGAAGCCGTGTGTAATTTACATTAATATGTTGTAAAACTCCGAACCAAATACAACTGTTAATTTGACAGTAAGAATATGTTGAAAAGATCATATTTTTTTTAGCTAACGGCTGACGGCTGCTGACTGCGCGCGCCCAGTCTGTGAAAGCATCTGTTGTTCAGGTAGGCTGATTCTTAAACTTTAAATGCATGATGTGTGCGATAAGAAAAAAGAGATAGCTTCTGTCTGTGAGAGAAATTGTCAGTCGTAGTAATAACGTCAAGTTATGGGGTTTACTGAACTTTTGCAGTTCGCTTTTTTCCTTTCAGTTGTTGCCATGTGGGAGCTGAAATTCGGCGTGTAGAACTAGCGATAGCAAGCTAACGTTAGCTAACTATGGTAATGTTACTATGATGTGTTGTGAAGCGGTGGTTTTACATGTAATTACTTGGTCACAGCTAACTGCTTTACATTGAATTCGCACTTGTTTCATGCTGTTGTGAAGCGGTGGTTTTGAAGTTTGGCAAAAATGTTAACTTGCAATTTCTGCAGCAAAATATTAGAAACCTTGAGGGGTTACATGCTGCATTGTAAAATCCATTGGAACGAACCCCATCCGTTTTTCAAATGTGTTAACACCGACTGCAAGCGGACTTTTTGTACCTATGCCGCTTTTAAAGGTCATTTCTATCGAGTTTACAACGCACCTGCACCCTCTGTTAAGGCTGGGGCCGTTTTTACAGATTTAAAGTGTGCTATTTCGCTGTGTGAGTGCGAACACAGTGAATTGCCACAGGATTTCAATGAGACTTTTCTTAGGAATGTCTGTTTATTCTGTGTGAAGGATTCAGACCTGTTCTCTGCCTGTCATCAGGGGCCGCTGAGAACAACATACTCGAGGGCTCAGACTGTTCAAATACATAGAGCCTAAAAAAGTAAAATTAGGAAATGATGAAAATATGACAGAAAAGTTTGCTTACTATGTACCTGTAACACAAACTCTAAACAGCTTACTAGAATCAGATATATGTAAGAATTCAGTGTCACAACAGTCTTGTGAAACACACCCAGATGACTTTTGTGACATAAGTGATGGTCAAAACTTTAAGTCCAACCAGTTTTTCATTGAAAATCCAGGATGCCTGAAGCTAATTCTCTACCAGGATGCCTTTGAAATTGTGAATCCCCTTGGCTCAGCTAAGAAAAAACACAAAGTTCTTGCCGTCTATCTTTCTGTGGCAAATTTGCTTGCACATGTGCGGTCCAATACAGATCACATGTCCCTTGTCTTATTGTGTGGAGACAATGACCTAAAACAGTTTGGAAGTGCTAAAGTTTTCTCAGAGATGCTAGAGGATTTAAAAAATCTTGAGAAAAATGGAATAACTGTTGGTGGTGAAACAGTCAAAGGGGCTCTGTATTGTATTGCAGGAGATAATTTGGGGTCACATAGCATTGGTGGGTTCACTGAAAACTGAAATCACAAGAACCGAGTTTGAGAATGATCCAAATGTTTGTGGTCCACAGCGCACTCCTGAAAGTTATGATTTTGCAGTTCTACAAGCTGAAGACGGACAAGGCAGAAGAGGCATAAAGGTAAACTCTGTTTTCAATGCTCTTAAGTCTTTGCATGTTAGGCCACGACATATTTGAGGGTGTCTTATCTTATGATGTTGCACTGTGCTTGAAGTATTTCATCAAGAAAAAGAAATGGTTTATATATTCAGTGTTGAACCGACGCATCAAGCAGTTCAAGTACAAGGGATCTGATGCTCTCACAAAGCCATCTGCTGTCAACTCTGAGGGGTCCAAGCTTTCAGGTCAAGCTATCCAGAACTGGAATTTATTAAGGTTGCCGCCTGTGTTAATTGGCGACAAAGTCCAAAATCCAGAAGATGATGTGTGGCAGTTAACTCTGCAGCTTAAAGATATTGTTGATATGATTTGTGCACAAAAGATTTTGTTGTCCCAAGTAGCCTATCTTTACATTATAATCCAAGAATATTTGGAATCAAGAAAGTGTTTATTTCCTGAGACTACACTAAAACCCAAACACCATTTCATGCGTCATTATCCGGCACTAATTTTGAAATTCAGCCCCTTGATTAGAGTATGGACCATGCGTTTCAAATGTAAACACAGCTACTTCAAGAGATGTGCAAGGCATTTAAAA